TCACCTTGATTTTTACCAGCCTTTGAGAGCTTTACCATGATGGCGGTTTACAGTGGCGGAGTGTGTGGTGAGCAAGTGGTGCAGATAAGCCTAGGAGAAACCTAAGCACTGTAGAAGGCGGCCGCGGGTTCTGAAGACTCGGGAGCGCGTACGCCTGGCAGCCAGCTACAGCTAGAGACTCTGCATGATTGGATTTAAAGTAATGTTAATTACTTGATAGCAGCTCATGCCCTTAGATTTTTTTATGTGTACCTGCCAGCAAGGGGCAATATGAAGCTTTTGCCTTTTATACTTATCTTTCTCCCACTCCCTTTATATCTCTACCTCTTTGAAAAGTCATTGCTCTCTAGTACATTAAGTATCTATTATAATATTGTACAGTGGTACCAAGTCATCATTTTATTTTATTTTATTTTTTTATGTATTTAGTAAAACATTTATAGGGTCTCACTACACAGATCTGGCTGGTAATACTTCCTGTTTTTCAGCCTCCCAAGTACTGGAATTACAATCGCGTGCCACCTTGCCCTGTCTCAATTGCCATCTCAGTGTGCCCTGGCTGTGGGGCCGGCATGGCAGGCAGGGGATTGAACCCTGGTCACTGCGTTTTGCTTAAGCAGGTGCTTTAGTCTGCTAAGTTATTTGGCCAGCCTGTTAATTTTTAGATCTATCTTTGTTAAATGTATGCCACTTATTAAATAAAGTGAATATGCTAACTAGTGCAAGGAAAGAAGTAGAGCACCCAGGCAAGTTGCTGACAACAGTCCAAATGGCTGATCATAGAGTCTTTATATGGATCAGTAATGTGTTGTGCAATATAAGCTAAAATATATTCCACAAGGGAGGAAAACGGAATAGGTTACATACACTGTTCCTAAGTGCAATGAACATAAAACTCCATTACTCACTTTAGGCAGGTGCTTTTTATATGAGGCTTTAAAGGTACATAAAACTGCTAGTGAAATGATTGGTTTGTACAGACATCACTTAGCTTCCAGTGTTTCACTAGATAAAGAGACTGAAAGTATTCTTGCAAGCATTTCATTAATGATTTTTAGATTGATGTTGGTATTCTTTTAGTGTAATATTTAGTGTTGGTATTCTTTTATATCTTGGGGCCAGTGATAAGGAAATGGCAGTTAGTATTTTTTTTTAAAGATACATATATGGATTTGGAATTATTTCTGAAGGACTTAAGTAATATTTCTATGTAGTTTAAAATTTTTTCTTGTCCAGAAACTAGAGTGTTTTACAAACATTATAATTGAATAAATTTTGAAACTTGTACTATTTTTTATAACTGTTTTTAGTATAGTTCTATAATTGGTTGAGAAATATCATGAAGTATTAAAAGGTGTATTAGTTGGAATAGAACTGCAGTGGTCTTACATAAAAATACAAGACTGGATACTTTTCTCAGTTACTTTTTCAACTCTGAGACAGAACAAGTACCCACTTATAATCTCAAAATTAAACGATCTTTAAAAATGGATTTTTGTGAACAAAAAGAAATTAAAAGGATACCAAATAGATATTTTTCAAATTTAGGCTTTAAATATAAGAACCAGATTTTCTTTGTAAACTGATCATTGATTGCTTGACTTGCCTCTTTGCCTCCCTCTCTCTTCCCAAAGCAGTTTCTCTATCTCATTGGGTTTAAATTCACAAAATATTTTCAAATTCATTCATTCATTCATTCATTCATTCATTCATTCATTCATTCATTCATTCATTTGGTACAGGGTCTCACTATGGAGCTCGGACTCCTAGTGATCTGTCTCAGCCTCCCCAGCACTGGGATTACAGGCGTGCACCACCACGCCAAGTTTCGGTGGCTCACTCTGCGTGGGAACAGCAAGGAATGTGGTATCTAGGATCGAAATGGGTCCATACACTTGCCAGGCAGGCACTTAGACTGCTGAGTCTCCTGTCCTAAGTCACAAAATATACAATCAACCATTTTAAAGTGTACGAAGCAGCAGTATTTTGTGCATTTACAATGATGGTATGAAACTATTAGCTCTTTCTAGTTTCAAAAGTTTCATATTGTAAAACATTTCATATCTTTAAATAATTACTCCCAGTGCCTCTCTCCTGTTTCTTCTAATTTATCCTCTAATTTACCTTATGTGTATATGGATATCTGTGTTATGAATGAAAATATTAAAGGATTTTTCTATTATGAATGTAAAATATAAAAGGGCTTATCCAATAGATACCTTTTTTTCCTCCTTTCTGTAATTTTCCGGTGAACTCTGCAAATTGTGTTTATCAAAAAAGTAACATTTATTGTTGTATAGTATTTCATAGTATAGATATACCACATTATAGTCTGTTGAAAGATTGTGTGTATGTGATTTCCAGTTTTTGGTTATTATAAATAAAGCCGCAGCTCAGGAGACTAAGAGCCTGCTTTGGCAAGTGCAGGGACCAGGGTTCAATCCCCAGTCCCACATGCTATGCTGGTCCCATCCCTGGGGCATGCTGACCCATTGAAGGAATCTGGGCATGGTGGCTCACACATGTAATCTCAGTTCTGGGGAAGTTGAAAACAGGAGAATCGCAAGAGTCTGAGGTATATAGTGAGACCCTGTACCAAATACATACATGAAACTAAATAAAGTTGCTGTAAATATTTATAAACAAGTTTTTACGTAAACATAATTTTTTATTTCTTTGGAATTAATGTTCAAGATTGCAGTTGTTTGGGCTATATACTAGTTACACAATTAGTTCTAAAACTTCTTTGACAGGAGTGGCTGCATAATTTAATATCCCCATCAACAATTTATTACTTTTTGGTACTGCATGGCGGGCCATCCCTGCCCCTGGGCATGCTGAGCTGGCCATGGAGTCCAGGAGTGGTGGTGCAGGCCTGTAATCCCAGCTCAGGGGAAACTGAAAATAGGAGGATCACTACGAGTCTAAGTGGCATAGGGAGACCCTGTACAAAAGGCATAAATAAAAATAAAAAAAATGTATAAAACCCCATTATTGACCATTTTCTTCACATACATATTAACAATTGAGGTTTTGACTATGTTTTGTTTTAAATATTGGGATACATGAATATTGATATGTGCTTATGGTTGTAGTTTATAGTGCTCTGATGTTAACCCAGATGATACTATGTATCTTTCTCTTGTGATTACTTGCTATCTGTATATCTCCTCATTGAAATTATTTGTGGATGTATTTAACCTGTTTTCATATTATATGTGTTATTGTTGCTTTTTACACTGTAGATTCTAATATTGTTTTAGGTATGCACTTTCCAAATATCTGCTAGTAGTTAGCTTTCTTCTGATGCTCTTAACAAGGTGTTTTGTAAATAAAAATTTATAATTTTAGGGCTGGTGAGATGGCTCAGTGGTCTAAAGCACCTACTTAGAACAAGCTTAGCAAAGCACAGGGACCGCGGTTCAATCCCC